TATATACTTTCCGAAGATAGAATTACAACACTATATATTATATAGTATTGTATTAGCATAGCAGAAGTTTTGCATTGCTAACTTTGTATCAATTATTTTATCTTGACTGTCAAGATGGTTCCTAAAATAATTTATTGGTAAAATGATTCTAGCCAATTTACCAGAAAGTATAAACATATTTCTTTCAACAAAATTATATTTAGACTATCTCAGTGCGTGTATACATATAGTCAAGTAGTCTAAGTCGAATTTTTTAAATAGTTTGCAGTATAACTAGATATTTTTAAAATACTGTGAGTTCTTGTCAAAGCTATCATCAACCAATAATATCCAAATAGGCTTTATATTATTATTTACTTTTAGAATTTCAGAATATTGATCATCAAATACAAGAGAAAAAATATTCTCTATGTGAGTAATAGATAATATACTTAGATATAGATATTTTACATAAAAAAAAAATAATAATAATTTTATAAATTAATAATTTTGATATAAAGCTATACAAATTAACTAATTAATTTTTATAACTCAGCCAGGTTCAAATTTAAAAGCTTTAATAACCAGATTGGTTGTTAAAAAATTTTTAGAGATTTTATAAAAATTTACAGCTGTTTTCATTATTTTTGAGACATCTGAAAAATTTTTAGATGACTGAATCAATAAGTTACTAAATTAAAACAAATAAGCTATTGATATTAGCCAATATTCAAAACTTATCAATTCAGTCATCAACGAATTTTCAAGTGTCCCAAAAATAATAAAACAGCTATAATATAAAAAAAAGCTAGCTAGCTAGGTCTGTTTAAAAGCTTCATGTTATAAAAACAAAGAAATTAAATTTGTATAGCTTAATTTATTCTAATATAATTTTTTATATAAATATAGATAAGCAAAAAAAAAAAAACAATAGACAATATATATTAAAAATAAATAATTCTTGTATCTATTGACTATTAAGATCTAACAAAAATAGCTATTTGTCTGGTTTGAAGATTATTATTTATTTTACTAGATTTTATTATAAGATATACTGATAGAATAAGTTTCTAATTGCTTCTATATACAAAGTCATGATCAGATACTTGAACTAATTTGAGTACAGATTGTAAAGTACAAAATATTCTGCTAACTACAGATATGTCTAAATCTATTTTAGATTTATCATCTTGTGAAATTATTAGGAAAAAGTTTGCAAATATTTGAGTGAACTGCTTTGTTCTCTTTATAGAAACAAGATAGTAATACTTATCAAGATAATTTTTTGTTTCATTATATGAAATACTAGTTACAGATATCTAGGCAGGATGGTAGTATACTTTAGCTACAATTGTTTTTGAACGGTAGGCAAAAGATAGTTATTTAAAGTTGTTTGAACTATATAT